CTGTGCTGACAAGAGCTTAGGTTGGGGGAGTGGGGTAGAACACCATGACTAATGGACCAATGAGGTGGGGCAAGAATTCCTTTAAGGAAATGAAAGCAGGAGAATGATAAAGTGTCTGAATACAACCCAAATTAGAGCTACCACAGTTCACTTTGTATGGATTCATCTCTATAGAGAATCCTTACGGCTTTTTCTTGAGCCCTGTCTTTTCTCTTGAACTTACAATGCTGTGTTTCAGATTGCCTGCTGAATGTCTTATCTTGAACTCAGGATGTCCCAAACTGCATTCATTTCCTCCATCCTGCTTCACCTGCTTGACCTTGCTGTTAGTTCTGGGTCTTCTCTGAATGATACCCATAATGTGTTGGCATTGGCTACCCACTCTTGTCCCTCTCAGGAATCCAGGCAAGGCCCCAAATTCCAGATGATGTGATGATGATATGATGAGTGTTTGCATACAGTCTTGCTTCTGCCAGCTCCATTTTATACAACCAAAGGTCTCAACGTTAGGCAGAGGCCACTAGCTAGCTGGCTATAAAGCCCAGAGACATACAGAATAATTAATTGACAAGCCCTTCTCATTTTCACTCCCTGTCCTCATGGACTCAGCCTTCCCCTCAACTCCCCTGTGTGAGTACTGTGTAGAAAGTGCCCTTTGACCTTTACAGAAGGGGGATGGGAGAAGGGAACCTTGACACAGCCCCTGGAAGGGTGCTTCCATCTCTACCAGCCATTCCTGTTGTCCCTCAGCCTAGACTGTCAGTTTCTATTGTTCTTAGCTGATTCTCCTTGTGTCTCCCATACTTTATTTCCATCCACTGCCCCACCTGCTTACTCACTCACATACGGGCATACCTTTTCCCATTTTTTACACCATTCCTACTTCTTCGATCCCACTTTCCTTTAATTTTTCCGCTGAAACACATAAAGCCTCAAATAATTATGGGAGTAGAGTTGTTAAAGTTTATATAGGTGGTGGTTTTCAGACTAAACCCTTGGAGAAAGTAAATCAGTGCCTTCTGGGGAAAGAGGATGGAGAAGGGCCTCTTAGAGAGCAGTGAGTGAGGAGTGAGTCAGACAGGGTGGGAACCATGGGAAGTTGTCACCTCATTTCCTGTTAGGAAAGCTCCATAAAGTAGGGGGAGTTTTAGCTGTTGGACCAGGTATTCTTTCCCTGAAACACTGGACCTTCATCCTTATCAAGACTATGAGTTCCTGGACCCCTCCAATTTTTCCAGTTTATCAGCCTGCCCCTGCTGTAGGGAGCCTTCACTAAACCCTCTGACCTCCAAGGTCTACCACTTAGCTTCCCTGCAGGTCCAAACGGTTCCTTTTCCTCCCAGTCCACTGACAAATTTACTCTTTTTTTCCATACATTTCGGTCTGTGAAGTGTTCTTAACCAAAGGCTAATCCTGCCATGTGTATGCTAGAGCCCATTGTTTCCTTCTACACAGCTCAGAAACATACTCAAGCCTCTTCCCATTAAAACAACCATTAGAATCGGGAGGTGAATGCCAGGTATTGATATTTTAAAAGCTCTCCAGGTGATTCTGGTATGCAGCTAGGGCTGAAAAAGAGTAACAGTAAAATCCAAACCATGACATACAGAGCTCTTCATAAACTGCCTCCTGCCTACAATTCCTGCCCTTACCCACATGCCCTTTGAGCTAGAGCCACATCAAATTACCTAGAGCTCTCCAAATCTGTCACATTTCTAGCTTCTGTGTCTTCACACACATGCTTCCCTCTGCCTTGAATGCCCTTCCCTGCCTTCTAGAAAGTGCCCTTTAGTGCTCAGCTTAGGTGTCATTTCTGTGAAGACTTCAAGAATTAACCCCCACCTTGGGGTAAGCTGCCCTTGGACACCATGGTTTCATAACCCTCTGGGTTTATCTCTATGGGAATACTTAACACATGCTACTCTAATTGTTCATTTATATGTCTGTCTTCTCCGCTAGACTGTTTTGCAGGAACCCCCATTGCCATGGGGATGCCGTTTAGTAGGACTTTGGGTTAGGTGATCTATATCAGATATTTGAAGATACTTTCTCCCAGGACTAGGACGAGAACTGAACCAAGTGAGTCTTTAGGCATGTTCATTTATGTAGTCAATCAACACTTACTTGAAGGCTTGCCATGTCATTTGCCAATGTGGTCCAGGTGAATACATAGGTAGTTGAAGTTCCCCATCACTACTATGATTGGCTTCTGGGACAGTTTCATCATCTCTAATGGTCTGCTTTGGTCGTCTCTAGTTCATCTCTAGATGGACACTGAATCTAAAAATCTCTAAAATAGCACTCTCAGAACAGTGCTTTATACATAGTAAGCATTTCGGAAATATTTGTTAAATGAATGCTCATGAATCTACATACATATATACCTTCTTGACATTGATTGCGTCCTTTGTCTCTTAAATATTGAGATAGAAACAGTGCTAAGTACTTTACATGGGTTATCTCCTTTAATCTTCACAACAATCCTATGAGATAGGTACTGTTCTCATTTTATAGAGGTTCAGCAACTTACATAAGGTCACATAGCTACTAAGCGGAAGATTTAAACTAAGGCCTTTGGAGTCAGGTGTAAGCCCAGAGCCACTAAAGCAGTGGTCCCCAACCTTTTTGGTACCAGGGACTGGTGCTCCTATGAGAATCTAATGCCTGGTGATCTGAGGTAGAGGTGAGGTGATGATGCTAGTACTGGAGAGTGGCTGCAAATACAGATGAAGCTTCACTCACTTGCCAGCCACTCACCTCCTGCCCGTTCCTGACGGGCCATGGATGGGTACTGGTCTGCAGCCTGGGGGTTGAGGACCCCTGCACTAAAGTATACCTGGAACACATTAGGCTTTCAATAAATATTTATTGACTCAATGAATACTGCCACCCCCAAGGGAAGTAGAAAGGTTTTCAAATTCTTACTGTTCTCCCTACTTGATTCTGGGTTCCTTGACCTCCTTCCCTTTCTCACATTGTCTCATCATGCTAATATTCACTCAACAAACATTATGTAGGATCAAATGAGTCAGATGATGGACCAGATGCTAGAGATACAGAGACTACTAAAATATAGCCCCTGCTCTGAGAGGAACTTATAGTGGGAGAGCGGTGCAGATAATTACATTGCGATAAGATTATGAGAACAAGGGGAGGGAATGATTAACTACCTGCAAGAGTTGCTTGTATCTTAAGCCAGGGGACAAGGCTTGGAGGAGTTGGGGGGTATGAAAAATGCTGACGTCCTTGGGGAATGGTTAAAGCATAGGATGTGGTCCAGGAGAATGGCACAAGTAGAACTGGAGACTGAAGACCAGATCAGGTTGGTCTTAGAGTATGATGCCAAGAATTTTGAGCCTTTTGAATAGTCGAATTCTGCTGCTGTTTCCTTTCAAAGGTAGGTACTAATAGGCTGGGTCATAGATGTATTTTGGCTCTGACCTCTTACCTCTAAGACTGAACTTCCACATAGCTACATTCCATTATTGACAAACATATTATTTCTCCCAAACTACCACATTTTCCGAGTTCCCTAATTCTGTCCACGTTTACACCATCTAGTCCTATATGCAGAGCACTATTCCAGGAGCTACTGGCACTAACAGATTTTATTTTGCTAAAACCTCTTCCTCACACCCAAGAGTTCAGTTGATGAGTGTGTGGAGACAGAGAAGCTGGATAGACAACTAAGTATGTGTATGTGTGTGTATATGTATAAATGCCTGTATATATATATATATATAAATGTGTTTGTATATACATATACAGAAATATGTATTTTTTACCCCCAACCGACTTGGGGAAATCTCTACAGTGTCTGCCTCGCCATTCTCATCAGTTTCCAAACCTTCTTAGGTCAGGCCCTATCTCTCATCGGTCTACCTCCAGTGCCCTCTTCATACTGGCTGCCACAGTGAAGTGATTCAGCTAGACGGTAAACCCCATGCAGGGACAGCTCTGCCTTGTTCATTGATGTGTCACCAGCACTTAACACAGTCTTGAACATGATAGATGGTCAATAAATATTTGATGAATATTTGATAATACAAGCCTGATTGTAGCCTCTTCAAAAACCCTCACTGTTTCTCCTCTGCTTCCAGAATAAAATAAAACTGCCCCGTTTGGCCTTCAAGACCCACTACATTCAGCCACAGCCAGCTTCGCTTCCCTTTTTCCCCTTTCACTACTTTAAGGACCAGTGTAGACAGTGATTCACTCACTGTTCCTGCCTCAGGCCACTTGTATTTTCCCATTTCCATGCCAGAAATCTCAGCTCCTCCTCATGCTAGCACTCACCCAGGTTTATAGGCCCATAGAGAAGGCTTCCATGTCCGGCTGCTCCCTCCGACAGACCTTCTTGCTACTGTGGCCCACCTCTCCTGTCTCACCCTCTGAGATGGGGCTCATTGAGGGAAGGGCTGAGCCCTGGAAATTTTCCCAGAGTCCTAAGCTACGTGGGCCTGCCATAAACAGAAGATGTGTTGGAGGATTCATCACCAGAGGGCTCAGAATGCGGTCATCCAGGGGCCGAATGTCAGGGAGAAGTAGGGTGCCATTCTGGCAGCCCCGGCCAGGCCGCGCGCCCTGACAGCAGCAGGCTGAGAGGGAAGGGGTGGGGAGTCGGGGCTGGGCTTTCTTCCTGCCCCGGGATCGGACGGGCCCGCCCTTGCTCCCGCCCCTCCGGCCGAGCCCAGTCGGGGCTGGACGGCCCCTCCTGCCTCAGCTGGAGGCCCAATCAGCAGGCGCCCCCCTCCTGGTCCGCCCCCTCCCCCTCTGGTGACAGAAAGTCGGCCCAGCAGATGAGGAAGTGGCAGGCTGGCTGGCCCTAGGGACTCCTCTCTGGCCCTGCTCCCTCCAAGCCCTCCACTGCTGCCCGCCTGGCCCCCCACTGGTGAGTCTGAACTGTCCTGTGCTGGCGCTCCACGTGCAGGGCCCCCTGCCTAGCTGGCCCGGCCCACCCATGCCCTGCCCTGCCCTGCCCTGCCCTGGCTGTGGGCGAGGCTGTTCCTGGGGAGAGTGGGTGGGAGGTCCCAGTTCCCTGGAGCTGGATATCTCCAGCAACCTCCCTCCGGTCCCAGGCTCCCATTTACTCAACCTAGGCCTTCCTCCACAACCTCCTGTCTTATCCCTCTTCCCTCTCGTCCCGGCCCTCTCCTCCCCTCCCTTATTTTCTCTCCTCCTTTCCCCTCCCCCTTCTTTTGCCTGTCTCTTTTTCCCTTCCATCCATCTTGAAGGAAGGACTCCTCAGAGTTCTCCTACGAGGACACACCCAGATTCTCCTCACGCGTGGAGAGAGGTCCTTTTCATAAGCCTTGAGCCACTTCTGACCTCCGGAGTGCGGGCATGTGTGCCTGTGTGTGGTGATCTTGGGGGTGGTGGTTGAGAGATAACAAGTTGGCAAACTCACATGGGTCAGGAAGTAGCTGTGTGTTAGAGCACATGCTATGCCTCCACAGGTAGGCCCTGCCACAGAGTAGGCAACCAACAAAAATCTGATCCTGAATGAATGAATGAATGAATGGCATCTGTGAAAAGAGATCTGTATGCATCACTGAGGGCAGGTGTGTGTTTGCATGTGGTGTGGATGATTTTATGTTCATTCCCCTGTAAGTGGGCTATATGAGTTTATGTATGTGACCACATTTATCCATGACTCACAGATGTGTGAGTAAACCTGATTGTGAGCATAAGCATTTGCACGTGGTAATGCAGGACCTATGAGGGAGGATGTGTAAGTGTTTTAGATCTGTTCACCATTTGACTGTAGTTTGGAGCAAGTCTGAGTATTAGAGATTGTGCATGTCAGAGTCCACAGAGGCTTGTTTGGGTGATGTGTCAGAAGAGGGCATTGTTGCCAGCAGGAGGTGTGTGTGCTCTGTGTGCACATGTGTGTGCTAGTCATTGGTGAGTTTGTCATTGAGTGGGGGCGAGAGCTGTGTTGGAGGCAGGGGTGTGTGTGTGTGTGTGTGTGTGTGTGTGTGTTTGTGTGCGCGTGTGTGCGTGTATGTGTGTATGTATGTATGGGAGGACTTGGGCCTGACCATGGTGTGTGCCCGGGCAGTTGGGGGTTGTCATGGAGGTTGGGGGAGCATCTGTGAGAAGTGTGCCCAGTGAGTGTGTGTGAGGGGTGTATGCGCAGCCTCAGTGGATGTGTCAGAAGGTGTGTTCCTCACTCAGTACTTGCACAGGTTGTTCTTTGGATAGAAGGAACCTGGTCAACTAGAGTGCAGGCAGCTCACAGAGCATTTGCTGCCCTGGCTGTTCAGGATCTGCCTTGTTCCTCTGGGACTGCCTCAGAATCACAGGCTCTGGCTGGCTTTTGTGTCCCTGCAAGCCCTCCCCCGACATTCCTTCAGGCTCTGAGGGGGAGAGAGCCTAGCTCATTAGACCCCACCCTGTGGAAAGGGAAGATTCTTGAGCCATCCCCCATTCCCCCACCTCCTCACATGCCACCAGCTTCCCTGCCCCTCCTTGGGAGAGAGGGGTGATTGTACCCATTCTGAAGTAGGACAAACTGAGAATTTATGGCTAATCTAGGGGAAGATGCCATGCGTGGGTTTTCTGTAGTTCTCTTTTGGTCAAGGTTTGAGGTGGGGCTTGAACCCCTGGAGGTTTATGGCTCAAAAACTAGAACTTTAGCCTATCTGGCTGGTCTAGGGTGGGTGAGTGGTGAGTCCAGGCTTAACTTGGCTTTCTCAATCCTTGTGGGTCCTGCTCCTCCAGGCACTACCTGTGCCTGGGACTCACCCTCCACCCAAACCCGGGTAGTGCAGCGGGGGCGGTCAGAGGGCGGGGCTGCTGCCAATCTAGTCAGACAGGTGGAGCTGCTGGGGCAGGAGTCTCAAAGAGCCAGGCTCCCAGAGAGGAGTGAGAAGAGAGCATCAGAGAAGAGACAGAGGCTGGAGGTGAGAGCCCAGGAGGGCAGTTCTTGAAGGAGAGGGGAGGAAGGGGCAGAAGGGACCTGGAGGTGAGAATCCCAGAAGGGACAGGAGGGGCCAGGAAGTGAGAGTCCCGGCAGGGGAGAGGAGGGATCCTGGGGAGCGGAGAGTCCTGGAAGGGACAGGAGGGACTGGGAGTAAGAGTCCCAGAAGGGACAGTCCCAGGAGATGAGCAAATGGGACCGAAGAGCTTGAAGGGGAGGATCCTTGGAAAGAAGAAAGACTCAGAGTTGGAGAGGTGAGAGACTTCGGTGAAAGGAGAGGTGGTTCATTCTGGAAATGAGTTCCCTATTGGTGAGAAGCTAAGACTTTCTGGAAAGAAAACGAAATTGAGAGTTCTCGTGGAGGAAGAGAGGAGGGGGAGGTCATGAAGTAAAAATCTCCAGAGAAGAGCAGATAGTGAGGAGAGGGGAAGAAGGTGTGGAGAGGAAGGGCTGAGGAAGGGTGGAACAGCCCTTCCTGGGCAGGGAGGATGTGTGGGAAGCAGATCCCCCCCTCCCGCTCCCTGCCCCCTGCCCCGCCAGACTGCCTCCTCCCACTCCTAGTCCCCAGCAATTCCTTCCTCTCACTGTTATGTCCTTTTTGCAATAAGGCATCAGGAGTCATCTTGTCTGGTTTGTGTCTGTGGGTCGGGGATGGGATGGAGGGGCACAGTCAGCTCTGGCTGACACCCATCCTCTATACCTCCCCAGAGTATTTGGCCAGGATGGAGGCTGTTGTGAACTTGTACCATGAGATGATTAAGCATATAGGTAAGATGCCTTCCACCTGTCCTTCCTCCTGCCCTGAGATCCCTGGATCTAGGACTGTCTCTTAATGGAGAGCCCCTATGAACCTGCTTGACCCTTTGTGACCTGACCTCATATCTGTATACTTGGTGGGAACCGTTTGGACCTTGTGGCCCTTCCTGATTCCTTTGACCCTTATTTGCAGATCCCCGGATCCAAGGCTACCCTCTCATGGGGTCCCCCCTGTTAATGACCTCCATCCTCCTGACTTACGTGTACTTCGTTCTCTCACTTGGGCCTCGCATCATGGCCAATCGGAAGCCCTTCCAGCTGCGTGGCTTCATGATTGTCTACAACTTCTCACTGGTGGCACTCTCCCTGTACATTGTCTATGAGGTGGGCCCCTGGGATGCCTAGGCTTTAATTC